TGAACGATGGGAAAGGTAGCTTAATATTCGAAACACACATGCAAAAGATGTCATATCTATGCACTAATAAAGCCAAGGGAAACGAAGAGGCTGAGCAGTGCATGAAGGATTCAATGAAAAAATTATCATTGAATATTGATAATATAATAAGTGGAAGAGTTCCAAAGTTAGTCAAACAACCTAAAAGTAAAAAAATCAGATGAATAATCAATCAAATCTTCTTGATCCCGCCAAAATGCGACCCAAAGGAATATCCAATGCCAGGCTAAAAGGTTACTGGGAGAGAAGAAAAAGAGCAAAAGGTATATCCTGGTAAAAATTTCTGTTTTTTTTTTCTTGGACTGATTTTCTAACAACTTATATAGGTATACCTGTTGAAGTTTCAAGTAGTCAAGAACCCAAGTCTTTAAATCCTTATCCAAACATATCATCACTGCCTAATTTTCTAACACAGGTCAGCAACCTTATGAGGAAATTTGTGTATATTATTTTTATCTTATAATAATTGTGGTTATTCCATATGCAGAATTTCTTTCCTCCAAGGCATAGGGAATCATACACTGCAATGATGATAGATCCAATACATGATCAGTAAGTAATTTGACATATTCTTAAATTGAATGTTTTTATTTGTTAGTATTGACAAATATGTTCTTTTGTTTGTTGATACAAGTTCTAGCCAGGATGTAGACAACATTTATGTTTCAATGACAAATTCAGTGGGATATTAATTTCTGTGTACTTTTCTCTGTGTAAACAAAATTGTTGAGGAGGATGTATCTAGAAATTTGTATACATTATTGTAATATGGATATTTTCTCTTGAAGGAGTATTGTATGTATTAATGAAATTTGTATACAATTTTATTCTGTCAATGACAAATAATTCTCCATTGTCCATTTTTTTTTCATTGGACCCGTTTCAGAATGTTTCAGAATGTACAAATAATTATCCACTGTTCATTATCTGTAATATGGATTTACACATACAGTTAAACTAGCTATACAACTCCACATTTTATTTACATATACAGTTATAATAAACATTTCTTTACAACAAATTTTAACAGTTATCTGTAATAGGGCAACAAAATGCAATATCTTCTATACAATTCCACATTTCATTTACAACAGTATAATAAACATTTCTTTACAACAAACATTTTCTTTACAACACTACAATACCCACATCCACATCCACAACCACATACAACCCCACACACATAAGGTTGCCATCACAAAGATTTTCTATACAGCTCGGTCATCACGTCCGACCGGCAAGCTGCCATCAACAGGAAGGTAGATGTTCCACCAATCTGCACAAGGGAAGAAAATTAAAACATTAATTGTAATGCTTATGAACAATGTTAGTTCCAACAAAATTGTGGAGTTGTATAGCAAAATGAATCATGTAAAAGGCACATATAAAGGTCACATACCATATGACATCAATCGAAATTGTATGTCTTGGCAAACAAAATTCGTAATAGCAACAATAAATGTTGAACTTTGAAACCTATTCTGATTTCTCCAAAGCAAATTTACAAATTTCGTATACAATCTCCACTATGAATAAATGCATTAATTCCTGCCAATCCTTTTTCTCCGCCCAATTTACCTTCTCTTTTCTAACAAGTGTCTCCATATATTTACAAACATAAACACCACAATCATAACTATTACTTTGCACTGGTATTCCCCTGGTCATTACAACTGGCCACTTAATCAAATTCTCCTCGAAAGCATCACTGGTATCCTTTAAGAAATGCTCAATCTGTGTATTTAAAGACCAGTCATTAAATGTGTCTAAAAAATGCTCAATCTTTAAATAATTATAACTTACAATGCTTTGTGTGATGGCCAAATGCATCCGGTTGGGTAAGGAGTCATAAACTCTCCATTTACTCTCATTCATTGTCCCAACAAGGAGTATCCAATGTTGATTATTTATTATAGGTATCAATATTAATTCTGTATTCTGGATAGCATCCTTTGTAATATGTTCGACGAAGGGTTTCACATTACCTTGTCTATACAACTGCACCATGAAGAACATAACAACATTCAGCAAATTGTCATGTAAGATTGATATACACAACTTAATAAATAAATACACAACTTAATAAGCTTACCCAGTGGCATGGTGATACATATAGATAAGATCTATATAGTTGTGGTGCAGTACACTGCTTATTCTCCATCAACATGGCAAAACAATCAACCTGCTCATTACCTAACCAACCATTTCCCAAAAACTCATCAATATAACGTCTCGGCACTGAAATATGTCCCATGTCAATTAATAGGTCACCGCTGAATTGGAAATATAATATTACTTTAGTTAACAGTTACTAAGTTAGTGATAAACAATAAGAAGAATTAGATGAACTAACAAGTCGGTATATTTTCTACAACATATATCAATTGTCTCCCGCATATAATCAGGAATTTCATCCCTGGCAGGAAAGTAGATTACTTCTGCTGCTGGCTGGACCTGTAATATAATGAAGTCATAATCTTTGCTGAACAAACTTAAATAATTAAACCTAACATTCCATACCTTGTCTGGGTAGTCCTCGCTAACATAATGAGTGACTGGCTCGAGCGCTTCTTCCTCCTTATGTACTGATTCAACCTCTTCTTGAAATTTATTAACCTGGTCGACGACAACTTCTTCTTCTTCTTTATTTTCAACCGATTCCTTATTGGGTTCTTTCTTTCGCTTTCTTTCAAAAACAACATATGGGGAGCAAAGAGACTTTCTTCTTCTATTTAACCTATTCTTAATCCTTTTGATCAAGCTTCGTTGTGGGGATTCTTTAACCCACCTTCTCGGAAATTCCACCGGCGCTTGTTTAATTGATTTTTCTACTCGCA